TAGTAAATAGTAGGGAGGGGGGGGGGGGGGGGGGAGTTTTACCTGTTACAGACTAACGAGGCTACCCCGCTTTTGGGATGATTTAGTTAGGGTTGGTGCTGCTTTGGGAAGGGGGCTGGACTTGATGACCTCCTGAGGTCTCTTCCAGCTCTAGGATTCTATTATTCTAATTCTCACAAATGGAGGAGGCATAATTTTCTTTACTAAAGCTGTGTTTACTGTCTCCCCCAAGAAATTTAGGTTTCCAATAATTTTGTTCAATTTGCCTCGTTAGGATTACTGCCCTGTATTTGCCAGAATCAGCTCTGTAACTTTTTTTGAAAAATTGTAATCATATTAACATACTCTAGTCTTCTGGTACAGAAATCAATTTAAGTGATAGATTACATATCACAGGGTATGTCTACACTACCCCGCTAGTGCGAACTAGCGGGGTAATGTATGCATACCGAACGTGCAAATGAAGCCCGGGATTTGAATTTCCCGGGCTTTATTTGCATAAGCCGGCCGGCGCCATTTTTAAATGCCGGCTTGTTCGAACCCCGTGCCGCGCGGCTACACGTGGCACGGGCTAGATAGTTCGGACTAGCAAGCCATTCCGAACTATCTGTACGCCTCGTGGTTCGAACAAGCCGGCATTTAAAAATGGCGCCGGCCGGCTTATGCAAATAAAGCCCGGGAAATTCAAATCCTGGGCTTCATTTGCACGTTCGGTATGCATACATTACCCCGCTAGTTCGCACTAGCGGGGTAGTGTAGACATACCCTCACTTAGTAATTCTGCAATTTCATATCTGAGGTTTTTTTTTTTTTTCAAAATTCTTGGGTAAATACCATCTTGTCCTTATGTTGTATTCCTGCTTAATTTATCAATTTGTTACAAAATGTACTCTAATGACACCTGAATGGGGTTCAGTTCCTCAGACTTGTCACCCAAAAAGAATGCTTCAGGTTTGCAAACCTCCCTTACATACTTTTTAAGTGAAGATTGATACAAAGAATTAATGTAGTTTCTCTGCAATGGCCTATCTTGTCTTTTTGGAGTACTTCTCTAGGATCCTGATCATCCAGTAGCACCCTGATTCTTTGGCAGGCTTCCTGCTTCTGAGGCACTTAAAAAATGTTTTTGCTCTTAGTTTTTGAACCTTCTGCTACTTGCTGTTCACATTATTTTTTGGCCTGCTTAACTGTGTTTGTACATTTGACTTGCCAGAGCTTATGTTCCTTTCTATTTTCCTCAGTAGGAACTGACTTCCAATAAAGGTTGCCTAACTCAGCAGTGGGCAATAAGCTGGAGGCATTTCACCAGGGTTAGCTCCTGGTGGGCCGCTGTCATTTTATTTACCTGGGCCTCTGTAGGTATGGATATTTGCAGCTCCCACTTGTCACGGATTTCTGTTTCTGAGTAATGGAAGCGGTGGGAAGCGGTGCGGACTGGAACACCACTTCCTCCAGCTCCCATTGGCTGGGAACAGTGCTCCACAGCCAACAAGAGCTTCAAATGTCTGTACCTGTAGAAATGCAGGCAAACATAGTGGTGGCAGCTGCTCTGCCCCGGGCTTCCTGATTCAGCCGCTGGTCAGTTTCAGCAGCGGCTGAATCGGGGAAGCCCGAGGCAGAGCAGCTCCAATTGTCCAGCACTTCCGGGTTCCAGATGGTGCCGGACCATCAGGAGTACTGGACCATTGGATGCCAGACCACTAGAGTTTTACTGTACTACAGAGTTATCTGTTTTAGCAACAACATCATCAAGCCCCTGCAGCATCCACAACAAAAGACTAACATAGTATCTCACCAACCACAATATAATCTATGAAAGCCAAACTAGTTTCCTCCTAGAGAAATGAATCACAGATCACAGTTGCTCATTAACAAAAAAAAAAGGGGGGGGGGAGAGAGGATATTTACCTCCTTTGTGAACTTTAAAAGAGCTTCAGGCCTGCCACTTTTACTATGAGATGCAGGCCACACTTGGTAGAGATCACACCAACACACTGCAGCTCACTCTGAGAAGCTCGACAGACAGGCCACTACTGTGAACAGTGAAGGATGGAGGTCATATGATTTGGGGTTCCAGCTGTGCTTTCTCCTCAGTTCTGTCAGTCCTGCTACCTGAGCTCAGGTAGGCAGATGCAGGGAAAGGGACCTTGGGTAAGTGTGAGAGTGCATTTCCCACTACACTACTCTAAGATTGTCTTCACTGCCAGTTCTTCCGGCAGAAAATATGCTGAGGGCTTTTTTTGTGTGCAAAAACCCCCGTTTTGCACAAGATCCTTATGCCTGTCCTGGAGAGGCATAAGGATCTTATGCAAAATGGGGGGTTTGTGCAAAAAAAAAAACCCCTTGCGCAAAAAAAATGGCAGCAAGTATGCTAATGAGATTGTGACTTATACTAATGAGTCCCTCATTAGAATATTTTCTGCCAGAAGAACTGGCAGTGAAGTCGTAGCCAAGATGTTCAGACAGTGCCCAAGCCCAAAAGTAAAAGGACATAGGTATTGACTTTTCATACAACAAACAGAGGTAGAGTTAAAACACAGCAAATACTCCTGCAGCACCTTAGAGACAATAGACAGGCAACATGAATTTCTTGCACAAGAAAGCCCTATGGTTAAAATGGCCATCAGAGCTTTCTTGTGCAAGAGAGCGTCTATATTGGCATGGATGCTTTTCCGCAAAAGCACTTTTTGCGGAAAAGCGTCCGTGCCAATCTAGACGCGCTTTTCCGCAAAAGAGCCCCGATCTCCATTTTCGTGATCGGGGCTTTTTTGCGGAAAACAAATCTGGGCTGTCTACACTGGCCCTTTTGCGCAAAAGTTTTGCGCAAAAGGACTTTTGCCCGAACGGGAGCAGCATAGTATTTCCGCAAAAAGCACGGATTTCTTACAGGAGGAAGTCAGTGCTTTTGCGGAAATTCAAGCAGCCAGTGTAGACAGCTGGCAAGTTTTTCTGGAAAAGCGGCTGATTTTCTGGAAAAACTGGCCAGTCTAGACACAGCCAATATGTAGATGGTATCATGGGCTTTAGTGGGCACAACCGATAGAGCTGTTACCTCTAGAATTAAAACACTAGAAGGAAAGAAGGAAGGGGAAGAAGAGAAAGCAATTTATTTATGTATACATGCATGGCCCTTTGAATCATCCTGAGAGATCTCAATGAAATTTTCATGGAGGCATTCTGCAATCCTTTCCCAAAAGTTTCTAGGAATGGCAGCCTTATTCCTTCCTCACATACTTACCGAAGGACACTTTCCCATGCCATCCACAGAGACTCTGGTAGGCAGATCGCAGTAAACAGGGGACAGGTAAATGGGCCCTTCGCTGCTCTGGAATACCAGCAGCAGCTGCCCTCTCTCTGCCCTTGTTCTAGCCCATACCTGGTTTTACTACTTCCTGATATTGTTCGGATTTTAATTAATTCTTTGCTAAATGACAACAGAAACAGCAAGCCCTTCTAATCCTCTTTGGAGACTGAAAGGCCTTTCCTGAGGGTCATCAGATGGGGGTGTGATAAGCCTTTCCCAACACTCCAAAAGCAAACATGAAACATGAAAAAGTAAATGTGTGACTAGTAAATACAGCCAAACTCAGACACAGAAAGCTAAATATCTGTAGAAATTAGAGCTAGTAAAAATGACATTTTTTTTCTCAAAAATTATGTATCCACATTTTTTTTAATTTTCCAGATATGTTTCCCACTTTACAAGCAGATAACCCCCGGCAAAAAAAAAAAAAAAGTGGGGTTGTTTTAAATAGCTGCAAGCTCAGAAATATAGACGGGGTGGGGTGGGAGTGGAGGTTGGAGCGTGGTTGTACTCATCGGGAAGCCCAACTCGCTGGGCTCTCTGATTGCCACAAGCCCGAGGCAGAGAAGTGTCTTAATGTAGCTGGAGCCGAAACATGTGTCTCAAACTTGCAACACCAGAAAAAGCTTCAGCTAAACCCCCTCATGAATCACCGGCAGGGCGCAATTAGGGGCTTT